GTGGGTAGTGCTGTGGTGATATTGCAGCGGTGGTAATGGACGGTGGAAGTTATGATAGATGTAACAGGTGGAGATGATGTGTAGTTCTGGTTTGGTTTTTAATGTTGTGATGGTGCAGCATAGTGTGGTGGTGGTGTCAGGGGTTTTCTGAGGGTGTGGTGACGTAGTAGTGATCATAAGAATAATGGTGGACAATACCACGAGGAACTAGACACGTGTGCAACATTAGGGAGTCTTGCTCTGCAAGGTTGATGGACTGATTACCTCATCCAATTGACAAAAAATAGAATAACAATGGTATGGATGGGTGTGTGGGGGGAGGGGAGGGGCTCAGTGGGTGGTAATAATGTTTGGTGTTGTGGGTAGTGGCAGTGTGTGGTAGCATGTTATTGTGGGGTGGAAGGGGTGTCAGTGGGTGGTGATGTGATGGTGCTGGGTGGTAGTGTGTGATGCAGAAGTTTCATTTGTGCTTATATATATATATATATATAATATATATATATTATATATATATATATATATATATATATATATAATATATATATATATTGGTAAAAAAAATAGTTTAAAGATGGGGTGGTAGGGGAAGTGGAATATTCAAATGGCTTCAGGAAGAAATCCAAATATTCTTCCTTGAAGCCTTTTTATCCACTTCTCCGAGGCTATTTGGGTCCCACAATTTACACCAGAGGTGGACCCCATCCTATATATATTATATATATATATATATATATATATATATATATATATATATATATATATATATATATATATATATATATATATATTATATATATATATATATATATATATATATATATATATATATATATATATATATATATATATGTGTGTGTGTGTGTGTGTGTGTGTGATGTATTTACGTTTTGGTGTTGATATGGTAATGCTGGAAACTGCTGGTATTGGTTGTGATAGCACTGGTACTAACAATACCACATAATGATGCTCATTATGTGGTATTGCTAGTGTGGTAATGCAGTGGTGATGGTGAGTTGCGGCAGTGGTGTTGGGTGGTGATTTATGTTTGTGCGGCAATTGCGGTGGTTTGGTTGAAGTGGTTGTTAATGGTTTTGGTTTTGCATTGAGTGATGTTAGTGTTGCGAGTAGTTGTGTTGAGTGCTATGGTGGTGGAGAGAGGAGGCTGTGGTGGTGCTGGTGAGAAGTGTTGTTTGCATATTTGATTGGGAGTGTGTTTTGCCTGTGTGCTCGCGTGTGGGAAAGAGTTGCGAGTAGATGTGAGAGTGTGGGTGAGTGTGGGTGGGTGTGAGTGCGGGGACATGTATGAGTGTGCGCGTGTGTGTGTGTGCGCAGCGAGCGCTGGGTGGGTGTACCTATAAGGATCTATAAATTCGACACAGCTAGGATCCAGCATACAGCCACTGCCAGGGTATACACTCCACTCTATCATTGTCTTCCTTGTTTATCGTTGTTTAATTTCAGTGAATATGCGTTCGTTTAATGCTTTATTTCTTCTAATCACATAACATCCTCAGAAGCAGACACATCACTAAACGGTAGATTCGGAAAGAAGATACACATAGTGTCTTCTATTATTCTTCAGCATTCACTAGAGGCAGGAGATCCCTCTCATTCTCCCTCCACTCGCTGAAAAATCTTCGTATTTCCTTTAAAATAATAAAAAATAAATTCCCTTTTATTTTAACGTAAGTCTTGGTACTACTACTCTTGTCTGTAACACTCGCTTGTATTAAAGAGGATTGGATGCCACGAGCGAAGCTCTAAGTAACCACCGATAAGTAATTGAATACAATGTTTCTAGTTGGGTTAACATTCCCTGAAGTGAGGGTGCACCGTGGAGCAGGAAGGAGCGACTATCTCTGCTGCAGTAGAGGCTGAGGTAGTAAGCCTCGGGCACACTACGTACACGCATGTTCATTCATAACTGAGCAAGGTCGGGAGGTAACAGGAGCTGGGCGACTCGAGGCCAGACACTGTCAATTTGGGTCCCACTAAACTCCGCCCCTCCCTCTCTATTTGCTAACTGGAGAGCCGGCCGCTGGGGGAGAGAGACCTTTCCCTCCCCCCTAAATTTTGGGGCAGAAAGACGGTTTTGTCTGCATTCTTTGTCCTAACCTGTGCGAGGGCATTCTAAATATACCCGCGGGAGGGCAGAGCGTTTGCGAAGGCTGGCCAGTCTGCCTTGCGGCTCCGGGAACTCTCTGTGGTCCCGCTCCCTGCCAGGTTCGTGGACGTCCGTCGCACCGCTCCGACACCTCCACTCCAATCATCGACACCAGCTCCTGAGCTAACGGATTTTAACTGACGATTTCTCACGTAAATCTTCAGCAAGATGACGTTCTGGCAGGAGAACTACGGCTTCGTGAAGGATGTGTACGACTTCCGCCTTCAGAAGTATCAAGAATGGATGGACAACTTGGAGGGAATCGTGTCGAAGGTGATGGCCCAAAATGTCCAGTATACCTACAAGGAGTTCAAGAACATCCAGGACAGTCTTGCCGTAAGTAAACAAAAAAATAAAAAGTTCTAACCCATGTAGGATCGTCCCATTAACATCCTTTGAACCTTTTCTTTTTAGGATGACTGGTGTTGGAGTCACAAGATGCTGTGCCACTGGATATTTGCCGCACCTTAATATTTAGGAAGAGCAAAATCCCGAAGGCTGCATGAATATAAACATCGCTACAAACACAATGTATATGTGGACCGTCAGTGGATTTTAGCATATTCGACGCCTGTGGATTTATTGTATATACGATTACGGTGGTTTTATTTACATTTCGAATTTCTCGTGGATTTCGGTGTGCATTACAAATCATTACGGATTTTATGTAAATATTGATTATATGGATAATAGAAAGCATCTACCTTGTAGTGCTAACTCGACAGCTACTAACGATTACATATATTCGTAAAAGAGGGAACTGTGTAACCCATAGTGAAGTTAGTGTGAACTCTCCATACAAAGAAAAAAGTTACAGAAAATATAAAAACTCAGATTTATAAAGACAAGAAAATCTGGCGAATTATAATATCACAATAAGATATGAAACAAAAGTGAGTGAAAGTTGTGATCGCATAATCATTATAAGTGATATTATCGTTCTCAGCACTATCACAGCTGACCCATGTTTCTCAGCGCCCAGTCATGTTGTCACACCATCCGATGGAAGGAGATGTGTATAAACTAGGCTATTAAAAATGCATGCAAAACACGTACTCATTTCTCGGAGTTAGAAGCCAAATACACGAGTGACAGAGCAGGTTCTCTGGGCATCCCAGAAATACTGAAGCAGAGGTGCAAGATATTCGAGAGTGCGCTGTCTCACCCGATGAGGTAATCAGAACTGATTCGACGAATGAGAGAGTACCTCCAGTTCCTTCAATCAAGAGCCCTTCATCAGCATCTGAGGACCTCCCTTGTAGATAACTCCTAATACTATATTCCACTTAAAAAATTACTTTTAATTTCACAGACTACTGTTTTTTATATATATATATTTATACAAGGAGCTTAGAGAGAGAAGGTTAGGTTGTGTTTACTACGTACTATGTCATGAGGATGGTCTTCAAGACACGTAACACCACTGAAATGAGCAGGAAGTGTTATGTGCACGCAGAGGTGTTTTACTTTCGTGGGGAAGGAATGTCTTCATGTTGGTGAAGGGCTTTTGATTTAGAAAATTTTTCTCTTTCCTCCGATTATACCTGATACCTCCTCCTCCTCCTCCCCCCCTACCAACCACCACCACTTTCTTTCCAATCCCTCAGGCTCTGCATGGCCCTTATGGGCTTAGCGCATTTCTTTAAACATAATAAAAATAAATAACAAAAAAAAGGCACAATATCGTGACTGGAACGATACACAAATAACCTGCATATAGAAGAGAGGAGCTTACGACGACGTTTCGGTCCGACTTGTGCGGGTTATTTGTGTAATAAAAATAAAGTTTTCCTGGGCTCAAACTTGACCACCTCATATTCAATATTCACTGCATGACTCGTACAGATGTAGCGCTTCCCAGTAAATTAACTACGTTGATTTGCAATCTGGAAGAGATGTAAAGCCTAAACAACTTTTAAACCACAAGAGAACAAACCAGGTCGTGTTCTCATCCAGTGTAACAAAGACAGTGTCGGGTTTTACATTAACGACTTTAGAGTAATAAATCCTCGAAGAAAAAAAAAGCTCTTGACTGGCGTGTCAAGAGAGAGAGAGAGAGAGCAAGGGGGAAAATAGACAAACATTGCATTTACAAACAAAACAGATGTCTTGCTTGAGCTTCCTACGATACAACACGGCCCTCTGAACATATAATAACAACCTGCGCAAGCACGCAACCCTTGTTCTCCTACTATGGGCATAAAAAATAACAGTATTGATTATACGCACACACATATGACTAGAGAAGTATCAGAGGACTGGAATTTAACAAAGCTACTGTAATATCGATACTCAAAACATGCGGCAGACATGAAGTCTAGTATGAGTGAAACATGTACACTCAGTAAAACAATATAGGGAAAAGCCTAATTGAGCCTCTATTTTTAAGCCTTAATGTAAAATCGTACTTTACACCCTTAGCCAGATATACGATAAACTTTCTGAGGTCAGACAGAAAGGACAGATGGATGGACTGTACATTTCTAGAATTTAAGAAAGTCAAATCATACGGTGTCTCGTTTAGGGTTACCGAGAAACTGAAGATTTAACGATGAATTGTAGTATGGAAAAAGGAATATTTCAAAATTTTAAAGAGGTTGGTATAAGTGATGCAGTATAAGAATGGGAGAATGTAACGAACAGAGCCCACAAGGGCTGTTGAATTTTACAAGCTTTTCCAGCGCATTAGGGACAGGAATAATGCCCAGCTAATTAGAAGAATACGAAGAACAGATGGTAGCTACAGGAAGGTCTGAGAGACTTCAGGAATTGTTGAATAAAGAGTTACTAAAGTGTAACTTGATTCTCATAGATTCTCACCTAGGATGAATGGACTGACGAGCAAATACAAACTACCAACTACGGGGTTACGTAAGATGTCGGAACCCGTTACGGAAACGATCTAGGATTATCCCTTACATTATATGCTTGTCTGCCCGTGAGTGTTTACTCACCTAATTGTGGTTGCAGGGGTCGAGACTCAACTCCTGGCCCCGCCTCTTCACTGACCGCTACTGGGTCCTCCCTCTCCCTGCTCCATGAGCTTTATCATACCTCGTCTTAAAACTATGTATGGTTCCTGCCTCCACTACATCGCTTTCCAGATTATTCCACTTAGTAACAACTCTGGGGCTGTTTGTGTTTTCAAGTGTTTCATATAATTCTCGTTTAGTTTGTAGTGGCTGTAGCACACTGAACACCCTCTTACATCCTTGATGTATCTTTTTGACATCGTTTTCTCTACACGTCGTAGTTGTTAACTCTTGCTTTCTCTATCAACGGTGCTAAAATGTCTTCCTTCTCTAATTTCTAGTACACTTTTCCCTTTATTATCAACCAATAAGAAAATTCTCATTGTTTTAAAATTTCGTGATTTTTTTTTAGCTCTTGGGTGTATTTTTTAGTTTGTCTTTAGAATTCTGTTTTTCTTAAATACTTTTTGGGTGAGGGTGGAGAAAGTGAGTCTCTGAGCAGGATGAAAGTGAATAGAGCAGCTGGGATTGAGAAGATTAAGACCTGAGATTCTAACACCGGGAAGTGACACAGTTTTGGAATGGTTGGTGTATTTGTTTAATACATGAACGAAAGAAGGTAAATAAGGACTGGCAAAATGCATGTTTAGCTCCTTTATATAAGGGAAAAAAGAGAGAGAGAGTGTGTGAAAGAATTGCAGGAATAAGTATATTGAACATACCTGGTGTGGTGAAGCTTACAGCAAAATTATTGTCGCAAGAGTCAGGAGAAAGACATAAGTTAGGAGTGCAGAGGAAGAAGGATCATTTAGGAAGGGGCGGAGATGTGTTTCCATGAAAGCATATTAATGAGAAAGTGAGGAACTGTTTGTTGCATTTATGAATTTGAGTAACTCTTACATTACGGTGCATAGGGAAGCAATGTGGCAGGTATTGGAAATAAACACACTAAGAGGTCCGTTATTAACAGCTTCAAGGAATTTTTTCTTATGAGGCAAGCGAGGATTAAGGTACGTAAGGAAAGGGAATTATTCTCCAGAAAGAGTTAACGTTAGACAAAGATGTGTAATTAGACAAAGATGTGTAATTTCACCCTGATTCTTTAATATATTTATAGATAGGTAGAGTCATGGGTTTATTGGAAAACCAATCTAATATGAAGTGAGAACTGGCACATGTGTTTTCTTCGTGATGGCACATTTTTTTAAATTTTGGAGGAAAATGCAGAAACAATTAGAAGAGCTTGGGAGCTTGTATAAATGAAGGAAGTTGAAGTTAAAGCTTACAAAAGAACAATCTGATGAAAGTAAGAAAACGTCTGGACACTGGAAGATTAAACAACATGTTAAAAGGAGTATGGAGGAAGTAAAGGTTAATATATATATATATATATATATATATATATTATATATATATATATATATATATATATATATATATATATATATATATATATATATATATATATATATATATATATTGTGTGTGTGTGTGACTTACATAAGGTACAGAAAGTTTAAGGAGATACTCTACACGAACTTAGATGTGTTTGTTAACAATCATTTCACATAATTCATCCAGTTCCTCAGCTGGGAAGTTTACCCAAAATGTTACTGATTCACTGAGAAGCTGAAACACAAAACTAGTTGCTCTGGAATACTTAGTTCCCCTGTTGAGTCTTTTGTCTAGCTCCTTACCCATGAGCTGAGGGTCTCTGAACCTATGGAAGCAAACATGTAATAATGAGTAATTTCACTGTATTTTCTAGACTTCTGGGACTCCCTAAAGCTGGCAGATGCAATTCCTTCTTCCCTGTTGTATTTAAGTTAGTTATGGACCAGCGTGAACTTGCACTTGTAGTCGCACACCAACTGCTTACCATCTATTCAGGCTTGCAATGTTGTTCCATCTGGAAGCTTTTGGCTACCATCGAATCTGTATAGGTGGATGGCTCAGTTATTACTGGACTGGAAATTTTAATGTGTTAGTCTCAGATTACGTTAGCTTAAGCTAGGCTAATGTATATTAACCGATATGACCGTATAATTCTCCACCAATAACGAAATTAAGAAAAACGGATATCTTACGTTTGGCAGCGGGAAGTGCAGTGTTCCACTTCTAACGTACATTTTCCAACACTTGTAAAATATTTAGAGGATAGACTGTAGGGAAGAAATGTACATACATACTGAAGATAATATGCACTTTCCAGAACAATATTTTATTTGAGCAATGTTTCAATATGTCGGAACTTTTACACGAGCGAAACGTTTTACCTCCAATAAAAGCCCATTCTGCAACTTGTGGCTTTTTTCAATAATGTCAGCAATGCTCCAATTAGGTCGATGTTTACCTGTGTTCTTG